AAAGAGACCATGTGAAGGGGCATAGCCAGCCCATAGACCTGTCAGCCCGGACCTACAAATTTTTGGTTTGATCACTCTACCGCTTGTATTAAATTAAGTTTTGTTGGGGTGCGCTAAAAAGCTTAAGAGCTCAAAGTGTTGGTGAGGTTAGTACGTATCAGTCATGCGTGCAGTTTTCAGGATATGTGGAAATGAAAGTCAGCCAGGTCTACAACTAGTCGAAAAGCTCGCTACACCCCTTACCAGACGCTATGTGTCAAGAGGTCACTTTTAAGAGATTAAAAGCAATGGAAACTATAAAACCGTCAGGCCACAAAGTGGTCGCGGCTGCTTATGGGTTTCAATGATAGGGTATTGACTAGCCTGCGAGCAAGCTCTCCGGGGCGTTCTGGCGGTGGAGCGGGAAAAGGAAGGAGAGCTTGCAACTATGTCTCTGGAATTTAAATATCTGCATCAGAAAAGTCGATGCGAAATGCTGATTGGCGGAGATGACATTAGTAATGACGTCATTACCCTTGGCACCTGTTTTTCAATGTTTGTTTACATTGGCGCTGGTTTCTGCTTCGCGCTGACAGTCGACGGGGTACCACAGGGGAATTGGAGGTGGAATTCAAATTCCAGAGATGTAGTTGCAAGCTCCCCTTCCTTTTCCCGCCCCGCCGCCAGATCGCCCCGGAAAGTTTGCTCGCAGGCTAGGCATTGACCGGGAAAATGGCCGTTTTTATGCTAGAGACGTTAAAGTCGTCTTAAGACGACTTTAACGTCTAGTATAAAAACGGTAAATAAGGCAGACGACTTTAACGTCTGACGACTTTAACGTCTTCTGCTAAGTGCGTCCGAACGACGCACTTAACAGACGACTTTAACGTCTCAGACGTTAAAGTCGTCTGGTATAAAGACGGGACGTCGTAAACTAGGAAGTTTGCTAGCTTGAAGTTCGTTTTTGGCGCCGCTTTAACTCGTGTCGAGTATCTTCCGAGAGTAGAGCCTAGTCCCGTTTTTACACTAGACGACTTTAACGTCTCAGACGTTAAATGCGTCTAGACGACTTTAACGTCTCTAGCATAAACACGGCCAATTTTGGTGTTTAGGGTAGGTTGTCGCTTATCAGAAGTGGTCGCATGTGGAGGTTCAACCGCATTATATTCATTACAAAGACCAAAAAATAACAAAAGCAACAACGACAACAATAAAACAACTAAAATATTACGTTCAAGTATACAACCCTACCGTTAAAAGAAAAATATTATACAATTGTCCAGAGAAATAGAGACACTATAGATACTTTTAGAAACAGTCCATTTTTTTGAAAAAAATTTCAGTCATTATTCTTATTAAGATGATACGTCTGTGGTCATCACTCTTCTTATACATTTTAATCACTGTTGTGAGGACAATGAGTTCGTTAGATCGCTTTACACTATAACGGAGAGAGTTTGTGTATCACCTTCCGATTAAGGGCAAGTTTTTCCCTTTTAATATACGTAGATTATTTAAGTTTTACTTGAACGTGGTAGCTGCAGAATTCAGGATGTTGAAGCAATCCGTTAAACTGGTTGTTCGGCACGACTCTAACCTCTGGAGGGGCTGAAATAGTCGCAGAGATCAATGTTCGGGAAAAATAAGTTCGTGCACACGTGTTGAGAAATGTCGGTTGGTTTTATCAACATAACAATTATAGACTTGCACACAAAAATCCACTTACTGTACACAGGCAGGTATGTATGTATTTCGCTGAAGACAAAAACGCGTTAAAACTGATCGGATGTTTAGAAATATGCATGTATGAAAACAATACCAGTTATCAAAAGTAGGTTGAGTCCGGCTGAACGTAGTCCTGAATAGGACTGTTGTTGTTGACAGTGACTGACATTTCGACAACCTGTGCGGTAGTCATCTTCAGAGTCAAAGTGAGTTGTGTCACATCAGTTGATGGTACTATACTCTGGTTATGGATCTGATTGCTCAATCATGTCGCGATGTTATTGGTCGTCTGTCAGTTAAGCCGTGATGTTATTGGCTATGAAGACTCGTAATCAGTAATTGGTGAGTTTCGATCCGTCTGTTGTCAAGGTTAAAGAGTCCTCTATTGTTAGTCAAATTGTCAGTTCTCTAGTCGTTCTCTCGTAGTTAGTTTTGCCTGATCTCGTCGATAAGTCGTTTGTACGACGCTGGTAACCGTTGGCTATGATTTAGTGGCGTTTGTTCGAAGTTAGTAAACCAGTTTTCTAAAGTAAGACGTTGATAGTAGTCTGTATAATACGTTATACATGTCGCAGAGTCCCAGTCACCAAAATGAGGATTTGTGACCACTTAATATTACCCACAACTAAAACTTGAGTTTTCCCAATAGTTTATTTAGGATCCGGGGTTCCCGTAATTGAAACTCGGGATTCAGGATTTTAAAGCAAAATCGTTGCGAAGATTTGGGAGGGGAAAGCGTACGCGGGAGGTGGATGCCCAAAATAACCCTCAGAATTACGGGATTGCACGAAATGTTGGGTCGGGATTACGGGATTAAATAACCCTATTGTGGACCTTCAAACTTGGTGAGACTTAGAGAAGAAGCTGCTGTTATTTCAGCCTGCAAATAGAGCCGTTTCTCCTGGCTGGTCGCCGCAAGAGACGCTTCGCCAGGAAGAACGACTACGACTCAGCGACAGATATTCCATACTGATGACGTATAATGTGTCCAAAACCTGGTCAGGGGCTCTAATAGGTCGACGTTATAGTTATATTGTTTTACCTATTGTTTACGGATGAAAGACAAAATACGAAAGGCCACAAAGTTCAAATGTAGACGGGGTCGTACCCCCTCCCCACCCCCCCCCCCCCCCCGCGGCGGCGATCGTCAACACAAAGCAAAGGGGGGTGGGGGGTGGGGGGGGGGTGGGTTTCTACATTCTTTACATGTGAAGCTGGCGTGGGCGTTGTCAGGTTGTTTGTGGTTGTACATTTATCGTTATCTCTTTGTTTTCTAAT